CTGGCTGCGCACGTAGATCTGGGCCAAGGCTGTGAAGTACGCGGGCTCCTGGAAGAAGGGGGGGTGCTCTTTTGGGGGGGTCTACCGGCTCGCTACAAGGGCGATTTTTCGCACTGGCCGTCTGGCCTTCGGCTGCTCCAACAAGCCCAGATCGTCTTTGCCCACACGAGTGAGGGAGGAGACATCGATCGGCCCCAAGGACGGCGCGGTTGCATTCGCCATCTTTACAGCAAGGAAGAACAAAGTGCCCGTTCGCACTTCTACATCTATCCTTTCCTCCTTGAGGTGAGCCACGAGCAGTCACGAGATGTCACGAGCAAACGTGCCATATACTAGAGCCTTCTCCCTGCAGCCTGGAGGATTGGAATACGAAACCCGATCGGTCAAGGGGAAAGGGAGGGAAAGGGGGGGGAAAGCGCGCTCTTTCGAGGAGGTTGGAGGCTGGCATTAGCCAAGCCCAAGCTGACAATCTCGGATTCGCCTCTCCACTTCCGGCAAGAGCCGCGTCTGCGAGAGGCGCAAACCATCGAAGCTTTGGTGAAGTTGTGCCCGCGGCATGGTCGCCGGCGAGGCCGGCGATGCGGTGGATGCGGTGGCCGCCGGCTCCATGGCCGCCATGGCCTCGGCGCCGCCGTGGTGGGCCAGCAGCCGCATCAGCCAGAGGTCCTCCGCCGCTGCCTCGGTCCGCTGCAAGACCTGAGCTGGCTGCGCTTTGCGGTTACCACAAGTCTCTGCCAGTGCCCTTTTTTTTTGCGGCCGTGCCTTCTGCAGCGCTTCGCGGTGCTTCGGGTCTCGGGCAACGAGAACACAGAGCTGCAGATCCTTCAAATGCCTGGAGATGATTTGCAAAGCCTCCTCGCAGCTCCCAGCCAGCAGGAACAATGCGGCTGCCAGATGAAAACGGTGCAACTCCAGCAGGCGGAAAGCATTCTTCCGCAGGAACGCAGGCTCGTTTGCCCTCTCGTGACTCAGCAGTGTCCACAGCTGCCCGCCTTGGCCTTCCTTGAAGAGCCCGGTCTTGCAGAGCGCCCGGAGCTTTGGAGCTGTGGCACCCAAGACCACGGACCAGAAGACCGCCTCGTCCACGGCCAACTTCCGTGCCACCTTTCCATGGGAGAGCGCGAACAAAGAGAGATATAGAGAGTAGTGGAACTCTAGACACTAACTACACACGGCTCAGCTTGAGAACAGCTGCAAGCAGCGCCTGCTCTTGCTCCTCCGGGGCCCGGCCCCAGACGCCGGCATCGAAGGTGCTGAGGGAGCTCTGCGGCCTCTGCGGCCTCTGCGGCTTTGCGGCCGAAGAGAGCGCGTGGCTGCTGCTGCTCCGCAGCTTGGCCATGGAGGCCTGTGCGAGTCTCGTGACGATCTGATCCAAGGCCGACCCCCACCAGCCGACGCCGGTCGCCCGCATCATCTGCCAGCCGAACGGTGACCTGAAAGCCGTGGCATCCGTTGCATCATGCTGAATCATGCTTGCAGGCTGGCATCATCTCTCCACTAAGGCCGGGGCCCGGGAACCAGGACCCAGTTTTCCAGCAGCAACGGCTTCTGTTGCGCCACAAGGCCCCAAAGAACGTCCGCTGTCGCGGGCCCCAGAAACGGACCCTGATGGAAGAAGCGAGGGACTGGAGTCGCTGGGCCCTGTGGGCGGCTCTCCTCCAAGCAGCGGAACTTCTGCCCCAGCTCGGAAGCGGCCAAAGCAAGGCACAGGCGTTCGGAGCCCGGGTCTGGTGAAGCAGCCAAAGCATCAGAAACTTTCCGCAGTTTCGGGAGCACGGCTTCTAAAACTTCCATCAGCGCTTTAACCCAGTCCGCGGCCTCTTCTGCTTTCGAAGCCTTGGAAGATTCAGCATCCCCAACGTCCACCATATCCAAAGATTTGCGTGAACTCCTGGACACGTCCTCTTTTGGAACCGGGGGGAAGCAGAAAAACATGTTGAATTCATTCAAAACATTCGAATGTCCTCCTGGTACCTGGCGAGCAACTGGTCGAGTTGTTCGCTGAAGCTTTCGGTCTCCTCAGCTGCACAACGAAGCGCAAAACTTAGTTCCGCCGCCAATGTTTGTCCGCAATTTCCTTTCTGCATGATGATCCTCATGGTTACTACTGTAAGTCCAATCAGTGGAAAGCATCCATGGCCCAACTACGTTGACGTCCGCATGGAAAACATGCATGGCTCAACTATGATGACGTCCATGGTCTCGACTCATGTTTTAACTGAAATACATCGACGGCCCAACCATACAGCATCCCCTGGCCCAACCATGATGACGCTGAATGAAAGCAACCGAAAAACATTCATGGCGCAACCATAGAACACGCCCATCCATGACAAAGATGCATGGAGAGCATCTTTGGACCAACCATGATAATGCCCATGGTCTAATCCCTTTCAACCATGGCCATGGCGACGTCCATGGTCTAATCCGTTTCGAATGATCCGGCACATTTGAGCTCAGGGCACCCATTACCCAACCATGATTGACATCCATGTAAAATCAGCTTGTACACCAACGCACTGAAATACTGAGAATAAACCCTTTCGTGCCCGTCTGTCTTGGAGCTATCCCTGCATGATCGATTCCACTTTTTTGCCAGCTTCGGCGAAGGTTGCGTGAGGGTGCTCACTGTCAGCACGCAAAAGATCGACGGAGTCCTGCTCCCAACCTTTTCAACAAATATCGGCTGAGGTGTGTCTATGCCTATGCGGTCGGGCATGATCGACGGATCTTTTCCGCTCAACTCCGGCGAAGGTGCTGAGTTTCAGCACGCAGGAAACACACAATGACAAGATTTCAGCTCCCACCCTTGTCCGGAAAACAGCTCTTTTTCCTGCTTCGACGGGTTGCAACGCCATCATCCTTCATCCTTGCTGCATAGGCCATGCTCCTGCGCAGAATTTTGGTGAACTGCCGATATTCCCGCGGGCCCCTACGTAGGACGGGGTCCCAGTGTCAGTGGGGCACTATATGAGGTCCGAGCAAAGGCTTCCACGATCGTTTGTAGACGTCCTGCTGCGGTCTCAAACGCTGCGAGGGCCCCCAGATTTACAACGTCGTTTGAAGGTGCGCAGTTCATGAGCAACCGTGTCAGTGTGTACAATGGAATGCTTTCTCATCCACGGCGCCAAGCAAGCCTTAGGCTCCCCGCCACGGCGCAAGATGTGCTTGATGGTATACATGTCCGTGTGAGGGGCTTGGTGTGGAAAGCGTGGGTGCTGCAATCCCGCAACCACGGTCTGAAGCGTACTTTCTGTTCATCATACAGCACCCAAAAAGTCCGACGCTCCTCGCCAGCAGCTTTTGCACCCCTCGCAACATATTGATGCCCGAGGGTCCTCCCGACTCTTCAACTTGAGCTGGATTCGAAACTCCTGGATTCTTGGGTCGCTCTCAACCGAGAGGCCTTCCAAGTTCTTGCAACGTCTGCACCTCCAAGATGCACATCCTTGGCGGGTCCACCACTGTCCCGAGGCTCCATGACCCCCCAAAACCAGCCTTTCATCGGGAAGCAAGTGCCTGGGTGCATTCGCGAGGTCGTTTCCTTGACACACAGTCCTCCTTGAAGCGATACACCGCGGTCTGCAGGATCGCTGGTACCAACCTAATTATGTCGGGATTATCCTGCGCTCGCCCTCGCAGGTCCTCCTCGTAAAGGTCGCTGTCGGGAGTTTAGATCCAGCAGTGTCCTGGGCGCCCACCTCGCCACGATGTTCGTGCCAAATCGTATCACCCGCGCCCCGCCGTCGACCATGACCAGAAGATGCGCTAAGAAGCATGCGATAGAATGGGAAACCGCAGACAAAAACGGAATCGCTCAGGCTCCATGGCTCCATGCTGGGAGACGAGCGGCGTTTTATCCGGAGCCGGATTCCTGTCCTACTAGATGAGCTGGGCAGCCTCGTACCTCCGCGAAACTCCGAGGTTTCTCGCAACAGCACGGAGATGGAAGCTGACGAAAGATCTCTCGAGCATACCTCCGAGGAGGAGCAAAGCTACCCAGCTACCCAGCTACGGGGCACCGTTTGAAACTTGAGTAGATCCGGGCGACAGCATCGGTGCTCCGCCCCAGTACTCTCGTACGCATGCTTCCATCGAAGAATTCCATCTTCAATCACAATCCGATGAGTATTGCAAATCTGATGGTCGACACTGATCCGATGCAGCTTTGCTGCCTGCATCTGACAAGGTTGATCCGATGCAGACAAGGCAATAAATGGCAATAAATATCTGAATCGATGCAGTCTCATTAAGATTTCGTATCGGGCTCTTCGTTTCCCTTCCAAGCGATCAGGGGCAGAATCGATTTCACACGACGAAACAACATCGCGGACCAAGGTCGATGCCGGAGCACTGTCAGCACGACCGCTTTGAAGTTGACACCCCTTCACCAACCGTCTTTTGGCTGGGAAGGTGGGCAAATCTTGATGCTCTGCGCTTTGAGCTGGTCATTTTTTCAGCCATTGATGCACATGGGTAACATCCGTGAAACATCTTCGACATCATGCTTCAAGATTTTAAGCAAAATTGTGTCAAATGGAAATCAGAAAACACGCGAAGAAAACACGGTCTTCCGACCTGTCGATGACAAGTCTGCGCGCGCAGGAGTTTCTTTTTCATACTCATAAAGTCGGTGCTTACTTGACACCCCAGCTCAAGAAAGAAGTGCACCTTTCCACCAAAATACACAGTCTGAGGCTCCTCGGCGGCCGCCTCCACGGCCTTCGCCTCGTGTGCTTTGAAAGCTTCCCTGGCCTCGGCAAGGCTCCGGTCCAGCGCCGCGCACAGCCCGGCCAGCGCTCCGCCGTGCCCGAGCTGGAGCTCGCTTTCGCCAAAGGAGTTGAACTCGGAGTCCTCTGGCTCCGCAGGCTCCCTGCAGTGCGACACATCTGTCACGAGGTATCACAAGCATCTGCAGCCCCGCGGCTTCAAGAGGCCACGAAACCAGCTCTCGACGGGATCCTTGGATGTCACATTGCGCTGGCCCACACTGGCCTGGCGACTCGTGGCGACTCGGCTGCAATGCGATTCCAGCTATGCCCGTGCCCAAGGCCCTTGGAACACCTCAGCCGAGACACCAGAACATGCCAACATCGCTGCTCTTCCTCCTAGCAAGACAAGACGCGGCCGCTGAGAGAGCTGAGAGAGAGCCGACGGTCCGACTGCCCTCTCTGAGTCTGACCCTCTTTGGTTCCCAGGGAATCGGGAGCTCCTTCTCTCTACGCCCAGACTGGGGGAGGGTCCCTCTTCTTTTTTTGATCCCATGGCTTATCATTCCGCTGTTTTGCTTTTCCTGCTGTCGTTGTTGTCACTCTTGCTGTTGCTGGCAACTGTGGCCTCGCCCTCCGAGCTGTCCCTGCACTGGCTTTCCGTGCTGACAGGCCGCCTAATGCTGTTGAAGCACGTCTGCAACATTCTCCCAAGTCACAGATTTACGTGGACATGACGGCAGCTGGCGACAGAGGCACCACGTTCGCCTCTTTGCGCCAGATGTCTAGAGTTTCTAGAGTCTAGAGTGTCTAGAGTCTACAAAGTCTCATTCTGCAAGTGTGCTCCTCCGGCTGAACCTCTTCCACCGTCACGGGGGACCTCTCTTGGACGTCCTCCTTCAAAAGAATCTCCGCTGAGGCAAAGTAGGAGAGGCAGTCTTTCTCCAGCTCCTCGCCTGAGCAGCGCAGCGAGGCGATGGCAGGGGAGAGGGAAAGGATGGAGAGGGTGGTTGTTGGGCCTTGCAGACGCAGACGCTTCGTCTCCAAGACCTTCAGCTCCTCCTGCCACTCCCGAGCCTGGAGCCGAAAAGCGAGCGAGCGGAATCTGAGAGGGCCGCGAACGGGGCCGCGGGGCCTCCTGCTCCTCGGCAAGCTTCCGCGCCTCTGCCAGGGCCCTCTCCGCCGCCTGCTCGCCTTTCGAGGGGGGCGAGGTCTGTTTTTGGGCGCTGCTCTCCAGCGGGCTCTCTCTGGGCCCCCAGGCGGAGCCGCTTCTCGTGGAGCCGCTGCAACCGGGCATGGCCGGGCTCCTGCAACAGGGAGTGTCAAAACTTCGCGAGGATGCCACATGGATCCATGAAGCCAAGGACGCAACAAGCAAAGAAGACATTGATCTCTGCGAACAAACCCATCCTACAAATAGCAAGCCGCGGCTAGGCTACAAAAAGCAAGGCTAGGACGGCTAGGAGAAATGTGAAGGATACAATGCACAAACACCCTCCCCCGGTCTCATCCGGTCTCCCTCCTCTTTCCCGCTCCCTGGCCCTCCCTCCTTACGCGAAACTTTTGTTGGTTTAGGCAGCTAAGCGGCCTTGGCCCTTCGACTTCGTTAACCGTATACCGAACGTGGGAGAAAAAAAACACGCAGGACCACACAGGAGGGGAGGGTGAGGGGGGACTGTGGGGGGACGCAAAGACCGTCATGGAAGACCGTCGGAGCTCACTGCACTGCACCGCCTCATCTTCTGGCCAAGGCTCGCAGAGAGATCGAAGCCAGTCCTCTCGCAAAAGCCACTGCTTTGTCATGTCCTTCTCATGTCTCAGTTGCATCGAGCGTCCCCCAAAGATAAGAGGCCGCCACCTCAGCAAGTCACTGCAAGAAGCGTCAACTTCGAATCGATCCTCGTTGCAGTTCTCCCCAAAACTGGGAATGGACACTTGAGACCACGTCTGACCAAGTGGCAGCCGCATCCTTTCGGCACGTTCACTGGCGAAGCGAGCAGCCTTCAATGCAACTAGTCGTGTGACCAGCACGTGAGCGCGCCCCCATTCTGAAACAGAGCTCGCTTGTTAGCCGCACCTTGAGAGGCTGCCGCGGTCCGGGAGCCATGAAGCGGGAGAGGACATGGCGCCGCTCGAGGGCGTGCCGGTGCCGGTGATGTCCGCGAGCGCGTCCACCATCGCTGTGGCTCCTTCCCCCCGCGCCTGGCCCTGGCCTTCCGCCTCCGGCACTCGCTTGCCGCCCGAGCACATTGGCCGAGGACGAGACAGACGTTCAACGCGACGCTGGAAAACCCTCCCCCGAAATGACATGTACACGTGCCCTCCCTTTCTTTACCAAGCTTGCGGTGTGTGGCTGTGTCCAACTGCCCTGCTTTGAGCAGAAACCGGGGGAAGAGGTGTGACGGTTAAGCGCAGCGAAGACCCCCCTTGCGGCGCAGAGGCTCCAAAGGCTCCTTTCTTTTGGCCTGGCTCCCCTCGGAAAATGGCTTCGCTACTCCAAAGCCGCGCAAGAGCAGAGCAGAGCGCTGCTCTCAGCTGCCATCACTGGTACAGGTTCTCCGAGATTCCCAAAATCTCCACAAGCCGACCTCAGAGCTGAGCTGCAAAGAGGCGAGAGAGAGAGAGAGAGAGAGAGAGAGAGAGAGAGAGAGCTGGATGCTAGCTCTCTTTTGCCAAAAAAAGAGGCGCACGGCACCGCCGCGGGAAAAACACACACAGGGGCACCCGGCCCAGGGTCTTCGTCGCCTTCTCTGCCAAGTTCTTGGATCTCAGCAGATAGTCCTCGAACACACAATCAAAATGCCACAAGCAGCGAGGTGGCACAATGGCTGTTTTCCTGTACACTAAAGGGCGCCCTGGTAAGCCGCAGCGGTCGAACAGCTTTGCTTCTATACATCAGCTACCCTACCGCATCTGCACACACGGCTGTTCTTTCACACCCGTCCTCGGCTTCTAGGGCGCTGCGCGGGCTTTGGCCTTTCTTGCATGCCGCCCTGCACGGATCGCTAGCTTGCGGTCCCTAGCTTCACTTGACGGCTGCAACTGCCACTCTCCGTCGCAAAGTGCTCGTAGGAGAGGGTCCACCCAGTAAGCAAAGGAGGGCGAGTCGTCATTGTAGTCATTTTCGCCGATCATCTCCTTGATCTGGGCAATGAGTATGCGAACTCTCTTGTCCTGCGGGGCACCGGTGTCCTTGTTCAGTGTCTGCTCGAGGCTCTTTGCGTCCGTAAAGCACAGCGTATTCTTCAGGTAGATCTCGTCCAGCTCCTTCATGGAGACGTCGGGGTGCTTTATCTCCATGAGGAGTGCCCTCAGGAACTCCGTGGCCTCAGCACCGGCCAGGAATCCATGTGTCTCGGCCGCCAAAGTGTTTGTGCAGACACGTTTGATGCTCCCAGAGTAGGCCTCGACGATATGGATTGGTGTCGGGCCGCCCTCCAGGACCTTCTCCGTGGTGAAGCCCACAACGTAGCCGCGCTGCGACTTCGACCCTTCCAGGTTGGCGAGAGAACTGTCTGCGAAACAGAACACCACAGCACTGTCCAGGTCTAGCGCCTGGTGCTTCACAAAGTTCCAAGTGGCACACGGCCTTGTTGAGTTCGACAACGTCCTTGATGGTCGGGTTGCCCATGGACTGTGCGGCGACGGAAACGTTGACCATCAAGTCAGGTCTTGTTTGGCGTGCGACCCATCCGAACTGCCCAATCAGTCCTCTAAAGGATGTCTTTTCGGCCTCGGTCAAAGGTGAAGATGGGCTCTTGCGGCGGTGCCCGGGCAGGACCATGCAGTCGATAGCCTCGATCGCGTCCATCTGGTTGAGGGACACCCGTTCGCTGCCCTGCTTTACGTTCTTGCCGCAGAACCTAAATTCGCCCTTCTTGACGGTCAAGTGCAGCAGCTTCTCCATGGAGGCGATGGTCTCGTTGTACTTTTTCCCTTCGCCTGCTGCGTAGAGGTCGTCCACGTGGGTGATCAGGATCCCGAGCAGCACTGGACCATCTGCTAAAATGAAGAGCGCGGGTTCGTACAGCTTCCTCCAGGTCGGGTCCCAGGAATCCGTCCTGCGGGGGATGGGAGCGAAACTGTGGTTGTCGAGGAGGAGGTTGTTGTACTTCTGGACTTGTAGGCTGTAGAGGTTGCGCTCGGAGATCAACAAACCCACGAGCACCGCGAGCATAAGGAGGGGCCAGCACCTCCTGTGGAACCATGTGGGCCGCCAGCAGCTCATCGTCTAGGCGGCAAACCTGAGCTGCTCGCCAGTGACCAGTACGACGTTGGTCCGTACCGAAGCCAATAAGCATGCGGTTGCCGGGTCCTCTAGCCGGGTCGCGTTCCTCAGCTCGACCCCGATCACTCTGGCCTGCGCGTGGCCGGGGTTGTGGTGGTGCTTGTGCCGACCCGGTACGGCCCTTTGAGTGGGGGTGCTCTGCCTCACGGTATCCAGACGGACCTGAGCAACTCGAGCCGACCTCGCGAATGGCAAGAAACCTTGCCATGGCAGACTGCGGGTCCTCCACCGCCTCCAGCACCTCAAGTCTCTCGGCCTCGGCTCTATAAGGAGACTCGGGCTTTCCAAGGACCCAAAAATTCGGAGAGTAAACCGATGCTATCGACCCCCTTCAGCTGCATCTCCAGGACCGTCTTATCGAAGATCTCCTTCCACAGGCCGCCCGCTTTCTCAGCCTTGCCCATCTTGAAGGGCGCTTCAAGCGGCATGGCTTCCTGTTCCACGCCGAAGCTCTTCAAGAAGTAGGAGAAGTGGGCCAGGTACTCCTTGCCGCGGTCCACTTGAATACTGTTGGGAAGTCCAGCCCAGCTGCTCCAAGAGGTGAGGAAAAGCCGAATAACGACGCGGGAGGCTGGCGGACCTTGGGCTTCTCCAAGGCAACACACCACTTGAAAGCCAGTGGCGTCACACATTGTGTTCAGGAAGGAGTAGAGCACATTGCGGATGTCCTTGGAGTAGAAGATGTCGATCAGCAGGTGGTTGTTGAACTCGTATTTGGTCGGTAGCCTCACCGGCTTAGGCCTCTTGCGCCGGATCGTCTCACCATGAGGAAGTCGCACCCCTTTATCGCACCCGGCTTTGCGCCTTGCCTCCGTAGGACCCTTTGCAAGGTCACGTTGGTGGGGTGCCCAAAGTTCACGTGGGGTCGCGCAAGACCTTCCTGAGCTCAGGCCGAAGCCTTAGCCAATGCCTCCGCCTGTCCTGCTCGGACATGCTAAGGACAGGGTCCAGCTGATCAGCCATGATGGCGCGGTGGCTGAAATCATCACCGTCAGCAACAGCAGAAGAAAGGTGAGCTGCCGAAGTGTCCTCCCCGATCAGCTCTGCAGTCCTGTCCGTCTCGTCGTGGGGGGCAATCGGCTGAGGGCCAGAGGGACGCAGGTACACAGGTGGAGCGTTGTACTGCTCAGTCAAGAGAGAGGTCCTGCCCCCGCCCGTCCTTGCCCGCGCTGTCGCCTGACACCAAAGGTCTCGACAGGCAGTGCGTCCAATGCTTGCTCGAAGCAGTCGTCATGTTGGGCCACCGCCTCCAGCACAAGTTCATTTAGGCGGGTCGGCTCGTCGGGGTCCTGGGCCACGGCCTCGTCAAGGCAACTGTCGCCATCAAGCCCAGAGTTCTCCAAAAGGGTTTCCAAGCACACCAGGGAGGCAACAAAGGTAGTTGTTGATGTCGTGCTCCCTGTCCCGAGCGGGCCGCTTGGAACGGATCGAAGTCGCCTCGCCCTCTCGGATCATTTTCTCAATCTCCTTCAGGTTCGGGTGGTCCAGAGCAGAGGTCGAACCCGGGCGCTCAAGAATGAAGTGGCCCTTGCAAGCCACCCTTTCTCGCAGAACTTTGGCCACTATAGCTCGATACTTGGCATTGGCACTTTCTCCCAAATTTTGCGGAGTGACCGGGCCGCCATCGAACAGTCCGGTCCGCACCTCTTCCATCACCACATAGGTCACGTAGGGGTGCTCAACCTTCAGGTCGTGCTGCAACTGCCTCCTGCTGGCTGAGCTGAGCCGTCTGCTGCTCCATGCCGAAAGTAGCGGCCACAGCCATGCCGGCCAACACGAAAAGAAGCGATAGCCCGACGCGTCCTGAAAACAATTGCTTCAGCCAGGTCTTCCCGAACAGCGGTCGGGGAGGAAAGATTGTTCTCCCCAGACAGCACCCGGCGAAAGAGAAAGTCGGCTGCAGAAAGAGAGGTGATCTTCTTGAACTTTCTCGTAGTGGCCTTCTTGTAAAAGATGGGGTCTTGGGCAACGTGCTCCTCAAAGTAGTTCACGTCTTCGCTCACATCGCCGTCCCTGCTGTCTTGCTGTTGGGCTGCCTCCACGTCCCAGGCCTGCGCGTCCTGTCTCCAGAGGTCAAAGTTGTCCTGGTGAAGGTCGCGGTCATCGGGACACTGAGGCGAGGTTTGCTGCATCAATTTCGCTTGCCCTCGGCGACCCTCCCCAAGTCAAAGTGCCATGCGCAACCGTCGGCGAGTCCACGGTCGTGGTCTGCAGCACCTCGTCCTCCTTCTTAAAGTCGCTCAGGGTCGCCTTGTCGAACTCAAGGAGGTTCACGACCAAGTGCCTCTCGTTCCCGCCTTGGTACTCGGAGTGCTCGCAAAGGTCGTTGTTCTTAAGCACCATGTAGACCTCGGGTTCGGCAGCATCCATCTCGAACCTGTTTGTGAACATGCCGGAGGAGACCTCGGGAAGCACACCGCCGAAAAAACCGCAAGAGCCTCATGCACGACCGGTGGGTAGCAAAGGCCTCGGCCAGCTCGGGGTCATCGAGGTCATATTCCTGAGCCGGGTCCTCGTCATAGCCCTCGTCTGCAAAGGCCTTCTCGTAAAGCTCGTGGCCTTCGTCCTCGTAGCAGGCCTCGTCCTCGTCAGGCTCCTCGGTCTCCTCAAAGGCAGCATAGGCATAGCTTCTGCGTCCTTTTCCCTTGCTGCCCTTTGGGCCTTTTCTCAAGGGAAGCTGCGGTGCTTTCGATGCACCGGAGCAAGTGGGGAACTGTATCCGCAAGGCGTGGGAGATCTTTGTCAGCTCGTACTCGTTCCCCACCGAAGACAGGACATTGAGCTGCTCCCTGCTGTCCAGGCCGCCGAACGCAAGTAGCATCATAGCTCTAAGGTTGGGGGGCACCTGTACTCCGGAAAGTGCCTCTTCCAGCCTCTTGAAGTCCTGCTCCCGGCGGATAAAAAACTGCTGCATGCTCTCGGCCGGGAGTCGCCAAACAGCCGGGCTGTAGAAGGCAGTAAAGAAAAGCTCGTTGACCTTGACCGGCTTTTCAGGGCCGATGTTGTCCTTCAAGGTAACAGGCTTGCCTTGGCTGTCCTTTGTCATCAGCTCGGCGTGGGTCAGCTTTCGAACGGCTTCATAGGCTGCACCGCTCAGCCCGGCACGCAAGTGCACCGGAGAAGCTGCTTGCTGACCTTCGTTTCCTTCCGAACAAGTCCCAGGCGCGCTCCGCATACTCCTCGTAGAGCTCAGGCTCGCCAGAGTACTGCGGCACGCCGTACCTGTCCACATCCAGCTTCGCCGAGGGGAGCATCTCCCCGCAGAAGACCTTAAAAACCGCCGGCACAAAGGTGGGCGAAGAGCCTGGTGGTAGCCAGGCCGCAAAGCGTAGGGCTCCACAAGGTGCTATCAGCAGCACCCAAGCGAATGCCTGAATGAACAGGCTCCGCTTACCATCAAAATGCCACAAGCAGCGAGGTGGCACAATGGCTGTTTTCCTGTACACTAAAGGGCGCCCTGGTAAGCCGCAGCGGTCGAACAGCTTTGCTTCTATACATCAGCTACCCTACCGCATCTGCACACACGGCTGTTCTTTCACACACAACAACTAAAAAACGTCTGCCTGTCGTTTTTGAGGAGGAGTGAAGAGAAACCGGGGCTCAAAACGGGGCGTGCCCCCCCACCCGCCCCCCCCGCGGCCGCGCCTCCGTGCGGTCCCGGCCACCACCAGGGTTGGCCTCTGACTGCTGCTGGTGCTACGCTGCTACAAAACAAAACGACATCTTCATCTATGTTTCCCACGACGACTCTACACTCTGTCAAACGCGCCCGTGGCCTCGGCCCAGCTGGAGGAGTAGGCCCACTCGTCCGCCTCCGCGAGGCTCCCACGAGGCTCCCACGGCTCCAAAAAAGGAGGCGCACCCACCTCCCGCTTGTATCTCTCGAAGTCCTCCACCAGATCCCCGTACCTTGGCAGCGCCTCTCCAAGCCTTCACTCGCCGCCTCGCCGCTTCCCCTGAGCCCAGGGCTCGTCGTCCCTCCCTGAGGGGACCATGCCCGCCAACTGAGCAGGTGCGGTCACAGTGAGAAGTGCGCTCAGAAGTGCACTCGTGCCTCGAAGTTCACCAGCATCTGCTTCGTGTCGAAGAGGTTGGCTTTGATCGAGGTCTGCCCCAGGTACTTCCGCACCTAAAAGGAGATCCAAAAGAGACGGATGACGGAGGAGCGACACAAACGCAGAGCACCTGCAGGGGCTGCGCCAGGCAGCTGTCGGGGCCCGCCTCGGCGACTGTACGCGAGGAAGGCCCAAGGCCCCCAGCTGCCTGGCTGGGGCCCTCGCAAAGCCGGTTTGCAGCGGCTGAGAGATCTTGTCCTTCCACACCACAGCCAAAGGCAGCTACCCATCTTGACAGCTGTTAGCTTCGAGCGCGAAACGCCTGCAGAAGATCCCATCTCCGCAGGAGCTGCTCGCGATCAAAGCGTGAGCGCGCGATATGTTCACGGGGGAGGGGGAAAAATTGTAGAAAGGAGGTTTCTGAGGTTTCCGCCACAGGCGCCCAGCTATATATTTATACATTCTCCCTCATTCATTTTTCATTAATTACCACATAAATTTTACATAAAATCATTTTATGAACCTAATTCATTTCATAAAATAATTTTTCTGGGGCTTTTTTCTTGAAGTATTTTATAATTACATTAATTTTTTATTGTTTAATCTTATTCATTATTTTCATGAAAAATTACCTTATTCATTTTATCATTTTATAAAATTACCTTATTCATTTTTGTTTCACAAAATTTTTCAGATTTTCAAAAATCTCATATTTCAAATTTCGGTGGGGTTTCTAGGACAATGGATACCTTACTCATTATTTATAAATATTAATTCAAAATTTTCATAATTTAAGTATAAACTTTATTACATTTTAATTAATCTACCTAATTCAATATTTTCATCAATCATCATAATTCCTAGGTTTCTGGAGTTTTTGAGGTTCTAGCGTTTTATCAAATATTCATAATAAGTTTTATTATGAAGCTTTGCTGGGGTTTTTGTTCTTGAAGTTTAATTATTATAATCATCAAATAAATCATTCAAGTAATCCTTTAATTCATCATTGTTAATGTATTTTTTATCAGGAAATATCAAATTACATAAATATTCATAAACAATTAATTTACATATCCATTTATCATTGTATACTTTTTTATAATAACTATATCTCATTGTTAATATATTTGTTTCGTTTTTAATAAATTCTTTTAACCACTTATTACTATGTAGATTACTAATAATTGTTATAAACTGACAAGTTATTATTCTATAACAGTTTCTAACATATGACTTTAAAACATTCTTAAAGGGACTGTTTCCTGTTTCAATTATGTTTTTAAGTTGTTGCATTTCTCTTATTATACTACTGTCATATTCGTTAAAACTTGATAATCTATTGTATCTAAAATACAAAATTTGTTTTTCAATTTTACTCAAGTTCTTATTACTTTCATTCTCTTGTTCTTTTGCTCTCAGTTTACCACAATAATTACAACAATCATAAGAAAGAATATTATTAACCATAACTTCTGGTAATATTTTACTTAAAATGATTGATTTAATATTTTTCTCCTTCTTACAAGTTTTACACCTACTATAATCTAGGATAGTCATAGTTCCTACTATTCTAGGGCGGTCTGTCTTTAAGTAGATACTACTATATTATAAAGTTTAATTGTTTATAATATATTAGTTAGTGTCTCCATTCTCCCACTCCATCCCAACAATCATTAATTTGTTCTTTTATAGGATACAATATTTCTACTCGTTCATCATGTTTCATATCTTGATTTTCGGACATATCTTTCAATATTTCAATAATGGTATAATAATTGGGTTGCATTACAAGAGCACCACCTCTATTATATATCTTCTCACCGTTTTCTTTTATTAATTTTTCATCCATTATATTTTCATATATTTCTTTCATCCATTCATGGTTCGGTTGTCCATATTCACTGAACAGATTAAGATAGTGAATAGCAAATTCTTTATCATACTCACTTTCTCTGTATTCTTCAAAATTTTTCATTAAGATTTTACCACATCATAATATTTAGGGTAAGGATTGTTTTTGATGAACTTCTTAACAATCTTTTTTGACTTATCAGTGTCCATATAACTATTATATTACGGTCTTTTTTCTTTAAGTATATTTATTTATTTATTAATAATAATTCATGTCTCATATATTTTTAAGGTAAACCTTCAAGAACAAAATATTTATTCAATTGTTTATCTCTCTCAACTTCTTTAACTTCATATGTTTTCTCGCTCCATTTGCTCCTTGTTTCTTTTCTACTTGTATAATTACCACCACTTTTTGTAAAAACTTTAACCGTGTCACCTTCTTTAATATTAGGATAATTTCTCAAATACTTTTCCTTCATTACTGAATTAGCCTTCACTTCTACATGATGCTCATCTTTATGTGCTTCATTCGGTGTCATTCCCGTCGTGCTATGTTTCATTTGTTTATTGTATTTATCTAAAACGGGTTTTAACATGATTGTCCATGCTCCACTATGTTTTAATAATCTATCACTTATCATTTTCTGCAAGGTTCTAATCATTCGTTCAGCCA